ATGCCAATATCTACCGTTTAAATACTAAAATACGTTTAGCAATGCTACGTTTAAGTGGTTTTGAACTATATTCTCGTTGGGTGCCCCTGCCTAGTGTTTCTTTTGCTTTAAAAATTGCACTTAGGAGTTTAGATCACCATGGCATTACAATAACACTCGCTTACTCGAGCTAAAACATATCAGACATATTAACCCTTAATTTTCTTCTGTGTGCAAGTGATTTCATATTCCTGCAATACATAGCTTTTTCTTGACTGGATAACGAGTTAAATAGCGGCAGCGGCGAGATTTGGTAATTTTTGGCGGGCTTTGGACACGTTTTGGGGGATGACGATTTCACTATTCGACCGAATCCATTTGATCGCTTGGTCTTTTGTGTTTTCTGCCTCTACTATAACATCTTTAGGAATTTAGGCCGAGTTACTGATAACAATATTATTTCCTCAAACCCGTCATTAAATAACGGAATTTTTTTTTTTATGTAGCCCGTTTGCACTCTTTTTACATCATTGACAGCAGATCATGCATAATAGTCACCAAACAAATGCAGTCGGATTAGAAGATCTAACGTTTTCTACATCAAAATGCCTACCAGACTTCCGATGAATATTACCACTTACACGTTTATCGTAATATTGTTAGGCTCAGAAACATTTTCAAGGCACAGGAAGACCGTCTTCTTCTCCGAATGTCATCTAAACCTACCCAGACGCACACACCGTCCTTTACGATCATCTCAAGAAGGCAATGCTGGCTATATTCGATGACAGAGTTCAAATCATAATGTCACACTTCTTCCATATAAAGAAAAAGTCAATTATTATTTCCATTGTTTTGGTTAAATTTTTAACTATAGTGCGTTGAATGTATAAGATTCCATCAGAGAGAGGCCATAAAAGTACAAGAACAACGCACCAGCGCGTGCGTGAAGCAATTCACTGCGGAAACTGTAGTTTAGCAAGCTCAGGCCAAAAAATTGGTTGAATCTGCACACACAAAGCCTCGGAGATCAATGACTGCAATTTGCTTTGGCATCTATCTTTCCTTTACGATGAGTAGTATGCTGTGTGTTCACGGACTGCGGGTTATACATAATCAACATTTTGAACCATCGCTTTTATCTAGCATTATTCGTCCGATTCTATTTGAGTTCCGCGACCTTCAATACATCCGATACAATATGGAACTACGCTACATTTTAATACGGGCAAAGACAAGAAAGACAACGCTTGAGTAGGCCACGCGCGATTATTCTGGATAACTCGTGAGCTGAGAACGCAAATCTCAGGCATATGTTAAATTGTAATCTCTTCTCTAATTACTCTATCGCCAGATGCCGCGTTAATCTTGTTAAAAAATGTAACGCTTTATCGAATAACTGACCACTGATGGTTGGATCAAACGGTGAAGAAACTAATTGCTTTTCGCAGTAGGAGGTTTATTGCTTGTCACTCAAAACCTAGCGTCCTTAACAACGCCGGCGTCATGTGCTGTGCAAAAGAAAGTCGTATGCGGGTCCTCATGATATAAGCAAGGTGGTCTGAAGGGTGGGGTAGTTATGTTACTTACCTTGTCATGTAATGTATTGACAGTTTTCTGGCTGATCCGAAATTTTAAGGAAGTCATAAAAGCAAGTGTTTCGTAGAGTAGAAACGATATACAATGAATAAAGTTCTTTCAAGTCAGCTTGAAAAACGAGTGCTTTTGCTTTTGTAGGTCCCCCAGGGTGTGAGACTTCCTCCTACAAAAAGATTGGATGCTTTGTGGATAAAGGTACCCGACCACTGCCCCTCTTGTAACTCAACAGAGAGGCAACATTGACTGGAATAACTGGAATTAGTAAAATCCAACTAGTGGTCTATTATCAATGCTGCGTTCTGATTGGTTGAGCTACTACTAGGCTATATGTTATAGCCCACTAGTAGCGAAAAGCGCGCGCTTTTTGGCGGCAAAAAAGGATTAAAGTCTAGCTTTAACTAGCTAAAATTTTTTATTCTCGATATTTTTGACCAACTAGTTGGATTTTACTAAAACAATTATTCCTCTCGCCCTCATGGCCTCTGAGTCAATAGCCCATTCGGCCTTCGGCCTCATGGGCTATTGACTCTGGGAGCCCATTCGGGCTCGAGGAATAATTGTTAAAGAGTTTCTTAAAAAGTGAGTTTAGCGCCCTGTTAGTTCTATTGTCTATACTCTCACAGAAAATAGCTTGTATCCTTGCTAGTTTGCTTTTATATGGTACTTAGAGATCCCTTCCAGCCTAATATTTTGGGTCAGCGTGTGTACCAATCCCGTTCTTCTAGCGCTTTCTCGCTTTCTCTCCGTCCTACACCTTACTATTGAGCTTTGTTTGCAGAGGGCAAGAAGAAAATGTTGCGTATTACGTAGAACGGGAAAAACCGCAGGACCCTGATAAAACCTTTCCGAGCCTAGAGGAGAACCATCAGCAAACTCAACCTAAGTATCTAATTATTCGTCGACTCGATTCCTAGGGGGTACTCTGGAGTGACACGGATGATCGAAGGATGTTTCTTGGGGTTTAAAATTTTCCATTACGGGAATTTTCGGGGTAGTTATATTTGGCAAGTATTTTTGGAGTGCTTTGAATTAAGAAGTGTTTTGAGGGGCAAATTCAAAATAAAACGGAAGATTGGTCAGGTGTAGTAATGCTCGACTACCAGATGCGGAAAAGATCAGTTCATACCAAGAGTGGTCCATACGGTACCATGAATAAACAACCAGAGACATGGGTTCATATTATATCATTTAATCCTTTATGAAAAAATATTAAGGCTCGCAAATCCGGCATGGATTTTTTTGGGGACTTAATTTTGATTTTTTTTTTTCAAATTAGAGTCAATATACTAGAGTCAAAAATGTAATTTTCTAGCTATTCGGTTCAGAAGGTGATAGTTTTTTCTTCTGTTGGAAGAATTCGGAGTATATTTTTCCAAGTGTCCAATGTCACACTAGCATTCGTTACAGCTGGCCCACGCATCATCTAAACCACTGGTATACAGATACAGGAGGCGATGTGGGGAGTCTGCGACGCAGGCTACCGTCAAAGCGACAGAAAGCAACCAAACAAACGCTGAAAACAACGCGTCCGTATAAGTTACCAGTCTCAAAATCCACCACCACTTTTATGTCAAGAAGGAACAAGAACACTTGCTGCCGTGTCAGCAATAATTACTTTTTGCCATGGTTAAAGGAGGGTCTGAATAGGGTTTAGTGTTAAGTGTTATTTGCCATAATTTTAAGTGTTTGCTGTTAAATTGGCCAATTTTTCAATATTTACTGTTTCCGAAGAAATTACTGACATCTTTGGCAATGGTCGGACCTCTTCGTTAGTCTTCGGAAATCTTCGACAGTCTTCGGGAATCGTCGTTAGCCTTATGAAATCTTCTGAAATAATCCGGAATCTAAGCAAAATAATATTGGCCTTTTTGGAGCCGTTTTTGCTTCTTTCTGGAAAAAATGTACTGTTTCATGTTACAAAGCCAAAAAATAAAGTGTTTAGTGTTATCGAGGTCCCCCCATTTAGACCCTCTTAAAGATAAGTGTCAGGCTCAAGCGAACTCGATTCTGGGCTAAAACGTAACATCTGGTTACGAATGCCGCAAATGTGGTCAAATAAAAGTTACAATGGAGCCTTTACTTATCAACAGCGATGGAGTGAATGAGTTGTGCTTCTATTAATATACACACATTGGATGCGAATTCATTAACCTCGCTACTCTTGGACTTTCCCTTCTCAAGTAAGGAGTCTGTTTCGTGACAAACCTACCTGAAAATTGGGTTTAACATTTTTTTTTTCATAAAAATTCAATCAAACTTGAAGAAAAAGAGTAGAAGAAGGACATTGTGCGTCATGCTGTTGAAATGGCGGGCGTTGCTAGAACCTTGTCCTATCTCTGTTTTAGTTACCTTGATAATGGAATCTAAAGCAGTGGGGGATCCAGGAATTTGATCAGTAGTTTTCCGTTTTAAAAAGCAGAGAAAGCAATAGTGACAAAAATAATCTTGAACTATAAAACTAAGATTTTACAAAAGAATAATTCAGAGGCTGGTGGATTCTGCAGATAACCTTGGAACAAAGCAGTCCTAAAGAATGGAACTTAGACTTGCCACAAGTCGACGGCGAGAGGGCCGTAGGCGCGAGTGACTTTAGCGAAGTGTGCGAATGTGAGCGACGAAGCCGAGAGACGAGCAGCAGAAACCGGAAACGGGCTTTGAGAGTCTGTGAAAGTCTACGTGGGACTGTGTGCCAGCATCTTAGAGAAAATTCCATATTGGCTTATCATTATCATAATAAAATTGCAGCATTCTTAACTTCGCATATTGATACACGAAAAAACCGATTTGGCTTGGAAGATTTAACTTGATGTTTTTTTTACAAGACTCTACTTCATAAGTATCTTCTGTGATATTATCCAGCTTGCGGAAGAGAGGGGTGTTCACTTTTCGGCTGGCCTCAGCGTCACTGCAATACTCCACGTTCCTACGCTTCAATTGGTTGGTGATTGTTTTACCATACGATGAATTTCCCACCTAAAAAAGCAAGGTTTATATCAGTTTTCTGTATACAATCATATCGTTCTCCTCCCCTATGATCCCAGAATGAAACAAAAACTTAACAATTTCATTGTATCCGCAATGATGGCTTTGTTCGGGTCTGCATCGCCTGCTCGTCTCGGGTCAGACACAGCATCTCCAAAGGATTTGAAGCAGGGCTCAGGGGTGAACTCGATCACTTGGTGTACTTTCGTGACCTCTAAACCATGTTCCAAGTACCATTTCAGAAGAGGTGTAGCCAGCAGAATCTTATCTCCTTTCATGCTCTCGATCAAGCTGCGACGGGGCTGAGCCATGATGCCGTGCTCCTCAGCGTACGCTTTCATGAACTCTCCAATATCCTCTCGACTGATGTTGGTGTTTTTAAAGATCGGGCACATCTCGCGAAGATCCACTTCCACCCACCCAAACAAACGCTCATTTCGCACCTCGCTCAATATTCGCTCCGCACTCATGATCTTGACTTTGTCGAGGGTTCTTCTCACTTCCGTAGCGATAAACCGCTGCAGTTCAGGATTCGTTTTCTTCATCCGGCGCCATTCACATTCCCACATCTCCACGACACAGTAGCCTTTGCTTCGAATATACTCGGTGTTGGCTCTAGTTTCTTCAAGCAGTTCTGTCATAGGTTTGTGTCGTTTCTCGTTAAACTCTTTTCCGCTGTTGAGAGCGCAGTCATGGCCGTGCCAATAACACCCCTGAAACTGGTACACAGTTTGTGACTAGACATTGAAACCGTCGACGGGAAGTTTACGATCCCCAATGCGCTTCTCTGTATTGTTCAGCTGATGACGAATATGTATTCTGTCTTGGTGCGCCACCCATTCTAACCACTCAATCGCCATCTTGATAGAGCTTTTAGGTTTGAACTCATTCTCTGCTAGGCGTCGCGTGTAACTTCCCGTTGGCATGTTCTGCATAATAGCCCAGAGGTACAAAGCATTCGCGTCATAACCCACGATCTTCTGGCACAGCTTAGCAGCCTCGCCTTCTTCAGCTTCCCTGAGTTTCGTTTTATCGGCTTCGTGGTAACGATGGAAGATGATTGAGGGGCCTCCGGTGTTGTTGTCTTTGATCAATTGATACAGGTCACTGTTCGCTTGATCGAAGAGACTGAAGTACGTTTGAGGTGAGAGGTATGAGAAGAGGTACTTGAGGGTGAGACCAGGCACAGAAATCCCATCTTTAAACATATCAATCTTTCTCTCTTGCCAGAATTGACTCATTTTCTCTACTGCCTCGAGGAGAGGTACTACATCCAGATTATTGTACCAAACCAAGAAATCTTTAAAGGTGGACATTTCATTGTCTTCCCATACTTGCTGGCAGTATCGGTACTCTTCACCCGTGATGTTAGCGTTCTTCAGACTTGAGTAGAAGGCAGCGTGACTGGGCAGCGATGTTTCTTCTAATTTATCCAAACAGTCTAGCCACTGGTGTGAGAAGAATCCCTTGGTCTGTTCGCACTCGTACGCTTTCAGGAACTGATCGTAGCTGAACCCTGGAGCGAGATAATTAGAGATGTCCAGAAACTTTAAAGAGTCTGTCTTCATACACATATGATTATTATTCCTTTCCACAGTAAACTTGACGGGCTGATGCTTGATGAGGTACGGGAACAGGAATTCTTTGGAGGCATTCAGGTCGTACTTTCCGGAATTGAAACTGGCAGTTCCTGTATATAGGCGTTTAGTTTCTCCTCTAGTTGACTGAGGACTTTGTGGTCACTGACGTCCTCTGAACCACCTACAATATCTTGTAACTCTTCTTACTGGTCCCGCGTCTGTCTCAGTTGCTGTCTTCTTTCTCTGTCCACTTCAACGTTCAATCTTCTATAAAAGGAGACGTCTTCCTGTTCTTGTATTTCATCATCGAGAAAAGCGCGGTCTTCTTCATTCTCCGGTTCAATTTCTTCTTCTTCAGCTTCTTCATTGTCACTCGCCATTAAATCAATGTCGCTACTTTGATCTTCGCTCTCTTCTTCACTATGTTCCTCTTCTTCATTGTCAACTTCATTGTAATTCTGACTGCCCTCCTGGATGTCTACCAGAATTTGCGCTAATCGGTCTTCGTGGAATTCACTGTTATTCGGGCCCCTTGCGGTTTCAAGAGCTTCAAATACTTCTGCGTACCTTTGGCGGAGCAGGGATGAACTTTTGGTGCTAATCTTGGTGAGGTACTGCACAAACTCGTTAAGAAGTAGCTCTGAATCTCCCTCTGACACGAAACATTTAGGTGCTTGGTAACCAGGCACGTTACTGCATACACTCGCACTTAAGGGCACATGGGCGGATTGCCAGGTTAACTTTTCAGTGTTCTTTAATTCTTGAGCTTTCTTCTTGTCAAAGTAACATTCAAAATCGAAGGTGGCTCTGCAAGGAAAATAGCGGGCTTCTTCAGGAACGACAATACCTTCGTCTTCTAATTCTTCAAAGATAGTTTTAGGGACATGGTAAGCTCCGCCAGGGTACTTGAGCTGGACTTTGCCGTCACAGGTTTTCTCATGACGCTGACATTTCCACATATCTTTCCAGTACTTGCCACATCTTGAACAGCAGAAGGATTTACTGTACCGGGCCAGGTCTTTAATATACGAGAAATGGTTTTCGTACAAGTTCAAGTAAAGCGTGCTGGAGTAGTGGCGGTGAGAGCGGCGAAGCAGGGTGGCGGCAATCTCGGGAGTATTTTCTTCATTGTATTCGTCTTCACTGTGGCTCTGAGTAGGCGCGAGACTGTATACTTGAATATTCACTTCATACAATTTCTCCAACTCGTCTAGTTCGGACAACTTGACGCCATGGAACTTCTTTTTTCCTAACCCCGCGCCTCGGTACTGTTGGTAATAGTACTGGGTATCTCTCTCTAAATTCCTCGTATGACAACCGTTGTGGAGGGTCAGACAGCGGAAAAAGCAGAGATGATCTTCATAAGGCTTGCCTCTTCTGATATCGCGATCGAGTGGGGTGATTCCCGTGTTGTCCACGATATAACCTAGTAGATATTTGCCACGGCCGATCGGGTGATCCCTGATCGTCGATACAAACCACGTCACATTAGTGACCAGATCCACGACCCATTTTGAGTTTGGTCTTTGTTGCCCCACCCACTCCAGGAAATCGATCTCCGCTATCTGCTGATATAGGCACTCTAAATCGTCTGGACTTGAAATCAGGAACGGTTGTTCTAGCACCAAATGGTTGTTCGCGGATGGATGATGATACTGGAGGGCCCCAGTCTCTGTATTACGGAGAATAAAACCAAAGGAAAAGTTGATTTTGAAAACTGTAGGTTGATCAGCAAAGATGCGGTTCAGTTGTTCGCGGAGGGAAGCAGGACTGATCGAAGACAGGCGGAAATTGTACCAGTCTTTTAAACGGTTACGGCGACTAAATCGGGTACGGATCTGGGGCCAGTGTTGACGGTACGTGTCGGTGATATTTTCCTCCGCGGCAGGAATAAGGTTGGCTGGAATAAGAATAGGATCTTCTTGCCAGTTAGACCCGGGCGCTGAGGTTTGCGCTGTAGTTGGGAAAGTACCAGGATCAGCGGACTTCTTGCGTTTTTTGGCAGCAGGTGCGTCTGTGTTTTTAGCAGCGGGTCGTTTTCTAGTTGCAGCGGCGGGTTGTTGATGAGCTGTGCGAATATGAGCGTTGTAAGGGGCGCGGTTGTGAAAGGTTTCGCCACAGGTTGCGCAAGTAAACGTACGTTCGGCAGCTTGTTTGTCGTGCGCTTTCAGGTGACGATTGAGAGCCGACTTGTCAGCAAACGTCTTATCACAGCGGTTGCATTCGTACGGTTTCTCACCAGTATGGGTTCGTACATGGGTTATTAGATGATTTGGGCGAGAGAAGGTCTTGCCACAAGTGTCACAACGATATTCCTTACGAGGCTTTTTGGCTGCGGGTTCACCATCCCCGGATTGAATTTCCTATAATTAGTAAATATGACGTAGTCTTAGTGTAAAGCTCAACTAACAAGAAACTCCGATAAACTCTATTTGTCTACAATGAGCGTCTCTACAACTGGGTAGATGGTTTGTTTTTGATGTTGAATCAACAGAATAAATCTAATTTTATGTGTCGATCCACGACATAATTGACTATCAGAGATAAGCGCAGCGCATAAGGTACTATTATAACTGCTATATTGCTGTAATCAACTGCTTAGTGGAAATAGCTTAAATTGCTCTGATACCTGTTTGAGTATATATAATACGCTGTCTATTTTCTTCAACTCGGCTTGATGATTGAAGAATATTAGTAGACTGAGCAAATGCTTTCAACAAAAGAATAGAATAGATTTCAATATGGGTGCAATCATCCGCAAAAAACGAATTCACTTATGTGATCAGTGGAAAGGGGAATCGATCAAGAATAAACTATTTACGCCTTCAAAATCATAAATAGTAAGCCAACTGTAACTTTTATATTCTTCCGACTCTTATAAACGATGGAGTGAATGATATTGGCTTTTTTGGCAAACCTAAACAATTTAGTTTTTAAAAGGTATACATTTCAAAAACTTTGATAGGAACGTTTGCACTTCCACATTGGGTATCCTAAACAAGTGAACATGAAAGATGACTTACGGTTTCCGACGGGTTCCACGTGGGTAATTCACTGGTTTCGCCAGTCCACCGAACATGAACAACAGAAACATACACATGAGTGATTGAACAATTAATAGTGCAAACTTAATTCCGTGAAAGAAAAATAATCAAGAAAGAAATTATCCCATGTATCTTGCGCTGATAACGGTGCCGACTCGTTGTTATTCTAGATAAGAAGAGAAGAAATCAGATTACTTTAGGTTTTGAAATCTCGCTCACTTTAAAGAAATAGGTGGGCATTGAACAAATAAGGAGATTCGTAATGTTGTTTCATCACTAAACAATTCATGTACGTTGCGTATTAAAAAGGAAATGGAGTTACCTTGTCTAGCGCCATGCGTTCCATCTCATTTACGGCCTGCATTTCTTCAGTTGTAAACTGTAAAGCAAGGAAACATATTCGATGAGTATTATACGACAACTGTCTACAAAAAGTTGAAGCAAATCTAGTTTGGAGTCCTTTTGTTTCTTTAACGAGGATAACAAAAGATACGCGATTTAGTTGAATAGATCAAATGCAAATCTAACCCAAGTCGAGTCTATTAACATAACGGACATAAATGATGCGTGAACTTTTTATACTTCGTGACATAACATATTGGAAAACTTACCGAATCGCTCAGTAGATCGTTGACTTTATCACTACCCGTGTCCTGATTGATTTCAGTCTGTGGGAGAGAACGTTAAGTAACGATTAATGAATAGTCGTTATTTCAACGTACAAATTAAACGCAAACCGTCATCAGGAGAGAACTCAGAGACGAAATAGAATACTTACCGGTATCTCTTGGGCTGCGAGTTCCGACAGCCGAGCATACGCCATTGGGATCCACTCATCGGGTATCAAAATAGATTCCAGCAATAATTCCCAATCGTGGGTCGAGGAACAACCATCCAAAAGAGCTTGAAATTCGCCAACGTTGGTAATAAAAGCCATGATGTTCTAAAAGTGACATGATTTTAAGATAACAGTCATCCCTTCACTAGAAATAAAAGTTAGTTCTAATGGCACTCTCCCTAAGGTGATTGACAGGCACTTATTTTACCAGCAAAATTAACTTAGCGACCTTCCCTAAAATTAAAAGGAAAAAAGAGAGATCCTGGGCAAAAGTTAGATCCAGCAAGAATTTGTACCCTTCGATCAACTGGGGCTTTTTAGGAAACAAATGTATCGATATGCTTCCGGTTCTGTGTTTTCACTCACGTGGCCAGCATCTATGCAAATTTATTGGAACAAAAGAAAGCGTTCACATAAGAAAAGAGTTCAACTCCGACAGGAGTGATTTGGGACACAGACATGGCCGCCGTTTCTTTGTTTTGGGACACAAATATGGCCGCCATGACGTCATGTGAAAACACACAGTACACAATAGCAACCTCTCTTTTCCCCTGCGCATTTGAATTATTCGGAGCCATCTTTAGTCACGAGTCAAACCATGGGCAGGAAAGCAGAACGTTTCTGACGACGTTTAATCTTTGCCCACATTTTTGAAGTTTCCACAAGAGAACGTCCATTTTCTCCGAATATAATTGTTAAAATTAAGCAAAACAGATGAGCAGTTAAGTGAACAGCGATATTAAGAACGGTTTCTATCAAAATATTTTCTTGTCATCTTTGTCACAGATGGTCATAATTTAATGAATAAGCTTCCTGAGTCCTCCAAAAAGCACTAAAGGTTTTCAATGTGGGAAAAAGCACTTCTCAATTCCTGAGAAGCTAAATGCTATTTACCTTTTGCAGAAATCAGGATCATGCTGAAGATCTTTATCCTTTTCACTTCACTTTACATCATCAGTACTAATGGTAAGAAAAAGTCCAATTCTATGAAGTTTCTAAATATGTTTTACTAATTTATGTCTAATTCTTGTCTTTTTCATACACAAAATCTGTACAGTAATTTTTAGGGAGTTATTATAACTCCAAAAATGGAGTAAAAATTTTAGGTACAGGATAACCCCTTTTTTGGGGTTACTTTAACTCCCAATTTAACTCCAAATTTGGGGTCATTTTTACTCCTGAAAAAGAGTTCTTTTTACTCCCAGTGTGGCGTCAAAATTACTCCGACAATTGGGTTATTTTTACTCCTTACATGGGTTGTTTTTACTCTTTTTGGAGTTACTTTGACTCTCAAAGTGGAGTAAAAATTTTAGGCACAGGATAACTCCTTTTTCGGGGTTATTTTAACTCCTCGATGTCTTGAGTCATTTTTACTCCTGAAAAAGAGTTCCTTTATTTACTAACGCCGATGACGTCACAGCCTTTGGTATGACAATAGGTTGTCTGCGATGGACAATGGAATCGACAAGATATAGAACTTGCATAATTATGTTACGGCTCATTGAATTTTAAGTCACAGTCGAGTTAGCGCTTATTCCTTCTACAATCAACAAATGAATACTTTTGTAAGTTTTTAGTCGAACAATCGAATAGACCTATATATAACTTATGTAAATGAGATTCCACCGCATTGTATTCACGGGATAAAGACAAGAGGCCGTGACGCTACAGGCACTAATCCTTTCACTGCCAGGATAAAAGAAGGAGTCTCGTAAACTGGTTCTAACTTTCGAATCTGTGGACAAAATCCTGCGGTGTGACCATTCAAATGAAACCTCTTGTCAGTACTTCACATTGTATTATTTATCTTATTTTACAGCATTTTACCAAAATAAAATTGGAGATTTTGTTGAAATTTGACTTTGGCCACTTTTGGCAGTGAAAGGGTTAATTATTCTTGTGCAAGTTAGTAAGATTCCTGTGCAAAATATGGGGTTCAAGTTGTCCTTACTATACTACTCACATGATCTTGCACAAGTTCTAAATAGGGAATACGACAATTAATCTTAATTTCTGTTCTATTTCAGCTTATTCAACCCCTTGTAACAAAGACATTGGAATTCTTATCGACACGTCACTAAGTATTCCTCAAAGGAAACTTGAGGTTTTATTGGAAACGTTTTTAAAGCCATTCTATGCCAAGTTTGAAATATCAGCGCAAAAAACCCAGTTTGGTTTGATAACCTTCGACAAATACAGTCTTTTGAGGTTCACGTTGGCAGAAAATATCAGTGCTATTGAACCAGTTAGACACTTCATGACAAGAATCGACCTAGCCCTGCTACAAGCCAAAAATGAGCTGTTTACTTCAAGTGCAGGAGACAGAAAAGATAAGCAAAATGTGTTACTCGTGATCACGGATGGGAAGCCTTTTCCAGCAAAAACTTTCCTTCTTTTTAACAAATCTTTAACTGTTTTGAGGGTAAGAGATGTGATTTTTCTTCGCGAAAGAAACCAACCAACCAGCCGCATTACGTGAACAAACTAACCTAAAAATATATAAACAGGCCACATGCACTAAGAGGTCACGTGACCAATGCTTCCTTTAAACAATGAGGTGGAATCTTGCTGATGCCAAAAATTGACAGAGTACATAAAATTTATCTTACACCCGAAATTTGAGAGGAAATGCATTTAAGGGAGATATTTTATGACACTTTGATTTTTCAACAAAGTATTATGATTTGTATTGGCCGCCATGTGGGGGTCATACTCTTGCCCTCCAACATGGCGGCCAAAACCACTTTTTGCTTATATCCTGTTAAACGTTTGATAGTTACGCTCAGATGTGTTGTAAACGTTGCCACATCATCTTTTCAACATTTCCCTTGAAGTTTAAGTGCAAAATTTGCGTTCATAAAGAGGTAATTCATAATTTTAGGTCACGTGACCAGCTACGAACTTAATCATTTTAAGAAAATGGTGCAGGTTTGAAAAACTAAATCACTATTATTTTGTTTAAGATATGACCCATTAATCGTTTTTCGAAAGCAAAATCATGTAACTTTCATTTTCATAAAAACAATGTCACATGACCTCTCAGGGCAAATGGCCTATTACAATGTCCTATTTAAAAAGGTTTTTAGATTTCTTAGAGGACCTTAAATGGCTAGACGCTTTTTATGACTGTCAAAAAGTGCAAAAAAAAACTTATGGTTTAGTGATGTACGTGAAATTTGTCATTAGAAGGTATACCAAAGGGATACCTTTTCTGTTAAAAGGGATACACCCAATTGCAAAAACGTTGTCATAGCAAAATGAAAAAGAGGAAAAAGCCAAATAGGAATTAATTCGGCTAATTTAACCACATTCTCATAGTGGATTCATTTGCAGCCGTTACATTTCCCCGCTGGAATTTTCAGCCTTATTGTCTTACAGCTTTAAAACAATAGCAAATTCCAACAGGAAAATACGACGTCCAGGTGCATATGCTGCAAATGAATTCATTAAGCGCATCAGCCTATTTAATTCCTATTTGGCT